GAGGCTGTGCTGACCCAGAGGAGACCCTGCAGGCTCTGAGTGAGGGAACATCCCAGTCCTGGAACAATAGGAGGAAAGGAGTGTCTGTCCATCAGGGGCTTGTCCCATCTGGGAAGGACTGGACGTCACCTTGCCCCATTTAACAAGGACCCCAAGGCCCAGGGAACAGACCCCCCCCAAGCCAAGGAGGGTGTCCTGGGAGGGGCTCTTGGGCTCTGCGGTCGAGGATGGCTGAGGGAGTCCTGGGCCAAGCTGAAGTCCAACCCGAGGGCCGACGGCCGAGGCTCCATTGCCTCCAGGCACAGCTTGTGGGAGCCACGGGGGTCCAGGCATCCCGAGGACCCGGCTTTGCCCGGGCCCCTGCCCAAGGGGCATCCGAAACCCCCGGTGAGCAAGAGGGAAGAGTGCCTCGAGGTGACCCCACTGCCACACACCTCTCTTGACCCCAGCCATGCTGGGGTGGGAGCCGTGTGTCCCAGGGATCCCAGGGACCCAAGCCAGCTCGTGCCTTTGAGGCCTCCGCTCCCCCATGCTGCCTTGCAGCCCTGGCCTCTGTCCTCAGACCTGGGCCAGTGGCCTGGGGGTGGCTCTCCTGTGTGCGTCCCCCAGCTCCCTGCACTCCCGGAACTGCTGTTGCATCGTCTGCCTCCTGCTCAACAGTCTTCAGTGGCATCCTGTAGCCTGCAGAAGTGCCTGGAAGCCCCAGCCTGGCAGCTGTTGGAGCCTGGCTCATCCCACGTGGCCCCAGGCCTTTGATCACCTGTCCCCCAGCAGCACCAAAGACCATGCCCTGCCGGCTCCAGCCGAATGCTCTGTTCCCATCCATGTCCACGACCGTGTCCCCACCCTTCCCATCCACAGCTGTGTCTTGCTGTCATTCCTGAGGCTTGGGCAGGGCCATGTCCTGCCCAGTGTCCAACACAGGTGTGGGTTTGTTCAGTCAGGGGAGAGGAGCGTGCACAAGAGTGTGCAGGACACTCTTGCACACACAGACCCAGCCACACACATGCCAAAGGATGCAGACACGTGTGCAGACACACACTCAGAAGCAGCAGCAGCACCGGATGCCTGAGGGGCAGCAAGACGGACTATATGCGGACTGCTGCAGGGGACAGTCCAGCACAAATGTCAGCTCCCATGAAGGTGACGACGAGCAGAGGTTTGAAGGGAGGACAGACAAAAATGGGGCATGGGGGGCGAACGCCTAGAGAGCAGTGAGGGGGAAGACAGACAGCACAGCTGGGACAAAGCAGTGTGAGGTTTGGCAGCAAAGACTCAGCTCAGGACTGGGGTCACCTTTAGGGACACGGGGGCGGGGGTTGGTGGCAGGTGGAGACCAGGCTGAGGTTGGGTCACGGCCCTCGCACGGTGCCGGGCGAGTTGGCAGCACGTGCAGTGGGCAGCCCAGATCACCCTGAGACTTTGGTGAGTAGCTGGCTGAGATGGACCCTGGGAGTCTGTTTCGCTCCCGAAACCACGGTCTGAAGGGTGTTTTGTTTGATTGACTAGTTGGGTTTTGAAGTTTTTACTTTTTAAAAACGAACCTTTTATTTTGGAATAATAGAGAAAAGCTGTAACATTGCAAAGTACGGAGTTCCTGTGTGCCCCCTCAGTCCCCCCCCCCGCAACTCCCCTTCTTGTTAGTCTTGTTAGTCTTCTGTCACGGGGACACGTCTGTCAACACGGAGAAGCTCACACTGGCACATTTTCCTAAATGCCATCCAGACTGTATTTGGATGGCACAGGTTTTTCCATGTCCGTCCAGGGTGCCCCATGGCATTCACCCTTGTTTTTCAAGACCTGGACAGTTGTGAAGAGGACGCGTCAGGGGCTGTGTAGAACATCTCCCAGTTTGGGCTTGTCTGATATCGTTTCTTGTGATGACACTGGGGTCGTGAGTGTTGGTGAGGTGCCCTTCCTGTCACCATGTGGCAGGGGTGCCTGACTGGCGGCCTGGTGACGGACGGGCGGGCCTCTCGCTTCCCACTCACGGCTCACTCGCCTCCTGGAGGGAGATTCCACACACCACCTGGCAACCTGGGGGTCCGGCTCGCACTCGCTTCCTTCTGGCCATGTGTCGTGTCAGCGTGCCTCATGGGTGCGTGCCTCACGTGTGGCGGGTAACCCAGCGTGCGCTATTCTGATGCTCTCGCGGTCCCAGCTCTGATATCTTTCCCATCAGCTCCTGTGTCCTCTGTCCTGGCTGCTCTGTGCGTCCTGAGCCCTTCCATCCTGCATTTCCCTGCCCCGGCTCCTCCACTGAGCCCTCATCTGTCCGAAATGCTCTGGCCCACCCCTTAGCTGACTGTTTATCACCCAGCTCCCTCCTGGGATTCAAGGGTTTTGTCTTGCTCCTACTGAGAGGGTCCCTGGCACATGGTAGGCTCCGTATACTTCATGAATGTTGCTGAATGAGTGAGTGAGTGAATGAATGAATGAGGTTGAGACCTCAGGCTGGCATTGTACAGGGTTGGGGCCACTCCATGCCCAACAAGGGGACCCCAGAAGACCCTGGCGGAAGGGGAGAGGCCTGTACCCGTCCGGGCAGGACAGAGCCCTTCGTCCTGCAGGCCTCTGGGGGCCTCCTCACTGCCTTTTCCTCCCAGCTCCGGCCCCTAGAGCAGGAGGTGAGCCAGGTGATACAGGGCAAGCGCTCCCCCACAGCTCCCCACGTGGGGAGCCTCGAGGCACGGAGCAGGTGCTCAGCAGACCTGCCCTGTCTCCCCTTTCCTCCCGGGATCAAACCTGGTCAGGCTCTGTGGACGGAGCCCTCCAGTACCTCCCCCACCGTGTCCGGGCCTGGCCGCTCCTGGATGGGACGCTGGGGAGAGCCGGTGTCCCTTTCACCTGCCAGGGCTATCTGCAGCATCTGCAGCCTGTGCAATGCGAGCCTAGGCCCTGGGGAGCAGCTGTGCTCCTCCGGCGGGGACTGGGCCCCTGGGCCCCTCGCCCTGCTCCAGCGCTGACTGGCTGGTCCCCTGCCGCCTCCCACTTTCCAGAACCCGCCAGAGATGGAATTACAGCCCCCGGCCCGCACCTGCGACAGGCAGCGGTGCCTCCTGGCTCTGCCAGGATAGGACCAACTCAGAGAGGCAGCCTGCTCTGTGCCCTGGGGCAGTGGCCTGGAGGTCCCACATGGGGAGGGGCAGGGGACCACCGGGCGAATAGGGAAAGGGAGGTATAGGAGGAAGGGGAGGCAGCAAGGTGAAGGCTAGGACCCAGGGGTCAGAGGATAAAGGTACCGGGCTGGCCCAGGGTGCTGGGGTGACCTCGGACAGCTGAAACCCAGGAGCTGGGCCCACCTGGGGCTGTGGAAGGCTGCTGGCTCCCAGAGAGAGGCCTGGTGGTACGGGGAGGCCAGGCCAGGCCACAGTTGGTGGTCAGGCTGAGCTGTTCGCAGACCCTCAGAGGACAGGCCTCAGCTCCACCCACAGCCCCCTGGGCCTGCCCAGGCCATGCCCTGGCTGCCATCCCACCGCGATGCTGGCTTGGCCGTACAGCTGGCACTGCCTTCTACCTCCTCCCCTGCCTCGGCCCTGTTCTCTCCCCAACCCTGCCCCTCTGTCTGCCGGCCCTCAGCCTCCAGCCCCTTCTCCAGCTTTCTGCCCCTGCCTCCTGCCCCTCCCTGGGCACAAGGCGGGTGCGGCCCAGCCTCTGTCCTGGAGGGAAGGCTTGGAATGCAGAGCTGTGGTGCCAGGCCTGGGGGTGGTGGTGGGAGCTGGGGCTCAGGAAGGAAGGGGCTGGCAGTTGGCAGTGGCGTTTTGGAAGGACGGTTGGGGGTGAGCGCTTGGAATGAAGACGGGGTGACAGTTGGCGGTGGCAGCTGGAGCGGCAGTTGGGGCTTGGCAGGGGCGCAAGCCCGGAGGACAGTTGGGTGGGGCAGCCGTGGGGTTGGCAGGTAGCCCCTGGCCCAGAGCAGCTCCAGAGGGTGGTCTGGGGAGGCCCAGCAGGAGGGCAGGCCCAGCTGGCACCAGGCTGAGCTGCAGCCTTGCTCGGCAAGGCGGCCTCCCCGGCCTCCGGGTGGGGCTCTGCTGCAGCCCAGGAAGGGCCTCCGGTCCACCCGCAGGACCCAGGATGACGTGCAGAGGGCGGTTCCTGGCAGCAGCCCAGGCATCCTCAGGCCCACCGGCAGCACAGCGCCGCGTCCCCTCCCCACCCTGCCCTCAGCCCCTCTCCCTCCGTGGGGCTTCCAGCAGGGGCTTGGAGAGGGCAGGGACAGCTCTGGGCAGTTCTGGGGAGGGGGCAGGACTCCCAGGGCTGTTGCCATGGGGACGGCTGGAGAATAAACAGGCAGGTTCCCTGACCAGTGACTGCGGGTAGAAAACCCGGTGGGGGTGGATGTGGAAATGCTGCCTTGGGGGAAGGTGGGGTGTGGTGGTGAAGGCGCTGGCAAGGAGGGGTTGCCAGGGGGTTGGCACTGGGAAGGAAGTTGTGCCGGGGTATCTGTTGTCCTTTTCATCTTCTTTCCCAGAGCTCCTCCCAGGCTATCCCTCACAGGGTAGGATCTGGGAGGCAGATCCCTGCTCTTTTGGTGACATCAGAGCGCCTGGCACAGGGCATGCAGCTGGGTCACCCCATCCCCCGAAGCCACAGTGGGGTTGGAGGGCAGGCAGAGGGCTGTGGGAGCAGAGAGCTAGGCCAGGACCTCCTGGGGGTCCTGCCAGCCACGCAGCTCACCTCACGGGGGAATTGAGCCTGCCCTTCAAAGGCCTGGGGTCTGTAGGTGGGGGTGGGGCAGATGCTGGGGCAGGGAGGGGGGGCGGCAGTTGCCATCAGCAAGTGCATCTGTGAACCCCACCGTCTCCTGCACCTGGGCCCCCAGCCCCCTAGCCCTGGTGTGCATTTGCTCATTCTCTCCAGGCCCCCAGACCCTCACAGGCATCACAGTATCCCTTGGGCAGGCTCCAGGCATGTTCACCCATGTGGCTGGGGGTGAATTTCAAGAGTGACCATCACGCAGCCATCATCAGCGCACAGTCTGACCACTGTGTTTTTTTTATGTTTTGTCATTTGTTGATGTTTCGTCTACTAGCCAGGCCAGGCCAGGGCCACACCTGGTGCTCACCATGGTACTCACAGGTACCTTATCCCCTGGGCCCTCCCACATACCCACCTGCTGGCTCTGCTGGCCCTGGACACTGGGTGCCCCAGTCAAAGCACACTGAGGACCACCCCTTGGTCCTCGCCTGTTCCCGTTGCTGCTTCGAGGGGGGAGCTGCCCTCACTGAGGGTGCCCATCTGTGCACAGTGACGGGCCATTGGTGGTCAGGCAGCAGACCCTTCCTGGGGTCTGTGCCAGGCCTCAGGGGTAAGGTGCAGCGCAGTCACCCTCACCGGAATCCAGGGGACCCCAGCAAGACAGGGGGCTTTGCAACCCAGCCTGGTGTCTGTCCACTGCAAGTCCAGTCCTCGTAGCAACTTAGCTGGTGCTGGTCATTGAGTGTGGGGTTCCTGGGGCCATGCTGCCAGCATCTCCCCATCAGACTAGATGCACTGAGCTGGCTGCAGGGGGTCCAGCTGCTGCTATTAGTTATTTTCTTTTCTTACATCATAAAGGGTGTTAATAACTCACAGAATAGTGACAGTCTGGAGATAGGGTGGCCTTCAGGCATGGCTTGGTCAGGGCTCTTGGTGGCTGTCCTTGGCTCTGCCTTTTTGGTGTATCAGCCTCATCTTCAGGCTGCTTGCCCTTCTGTTGGTTGTTGGAGCAGGAAAGATGGGAGTCTCAGTCCCCAGTCACTGGCAAGGCTGCTGGAGTGGATGGGGGTAACCTGGATTCATCATGATGCAGGACATGGGCATGGGGAGCGGAGGTCCCAGGGCTCCGGGGACTCACTCCAGAACTCAGCAAGGCTTTCCCCCAAGACCAGAAGCCCCAGGCTGGCAGGTGCGGTGGGCCCTGGTGAGGCACAGGCTTGGTTCTCATGGGCAGACCTCCTGAGCCATGACTGGACACCATGGCATGCTCTGAAGAAGGCAACTGGACAATGGGTGTGCCATCCAGCAAGGCTGTTCTTGGGGAGTGCTGTGTGTGTGTGTGTGTGTGTGTGTGTGTGTGTGTGTGTGGCCATCTTAGGAGACTGAGGCTCTTTCTGAGAGAGGCTGGTAGGCATTAGGGGTCTGGTCCTCCTGAGTTTGGGGGCACTCCAAAAGCTGCCTCAGTCTCCCTGGCCACCTTTCCTCCGAGGCTACAACTGTGCACTAGGTAGGCAGGTAGGGGACTTCTGCAGAGAGCGCCCTGTCCCTTCAAAGGAAGGAGGCAGGTGACCCTCCTGGAGGTCTGTAGACAGCCACTTCTCAGGGTGGCTGTGCCCAGCCCCCACCTCCCCAGGGCCTAGGAAACGCGGGCCCGTTGTTCCAGAAAACGGATGTGATGGAGAGGGTCCTCCAGACGAAAGGCTTGGGAGGGGGCTCCGGGGACGGCAGTGCCAGCCTAGGCAGCAGGAAGGGAGCCTGCACAGCCGTTTACAGGCGCCGCTGGCTAGCAGCGAGGGAGTGTCCGAGCCTTTCATCGCTGGCTGCCAGACCGAGGTTCGCCCTTGTTCACTCAAGGAGAATTCCACCCCCCAGACCTGCCCTCCCACTGCAGCCCAATGAATGCCTCCTTACACATCCTGAGAAAGCATCCATAATGGCCCGCCGCCTCCCACCTCCCGAGGAATTCCGCGGCGCTGGGCCCGCAGGGAGGCAGGGCGCAGACGGCCCGCGGCGCCTCCCCATTGGATCGTCCGGTCGTGCTCCACTCCACTGCGCGGCTGGCCAGCCACAGGCTCACCTCCCTTCCCACAGCCGCGCCCGGGAAAGGAAGCGAGGTGGCCTTTGCCCCCGCATAGGCCAGCCAGGAATGCGGGACCACACTTCCCACTACGCCCGCCCGCGGGCTTGAGGATGGGGGAAGAAGGACGCGCAGGGCCCATCCGGGGCAGCGCTTGAGATAGCCGGCGGGGCCCCGCACCTCACTCGACAGGCGAGGCGGAAAGGATCATCGCGCACGGTCGTGGGTGCTAAGTTGTCCAAACCCAAGACCTAGTGGCAGGCACTGTCACGTGGCCTGCGCCCCAGGTGTGCCTCGCCCTGGGCGCGCTGAGGTCCCCCGACGGCGACGGCGCGCGGTGCCCAGGTCCTTGCGGGGCCGTGGGAGCGCTTTCTCGTTCCCCATTCGCTGCCCAGCGCGCGGCCCGCACAGCCGCCTGGGCAGGGGGGGTAAGTCGCGAAGTTTGCGAGACGCGCGCGGCGCGACTGCGCGTCGGGGCTCGGGAACAGCCTGTGGCCCGGGGACCCGCGCGCCCCGGAGGAGCTGGCGCCTGGGCAACGCTGGGGTGCGCAGTCCGGCGGGGGCTGGGGTGCCCTCGTCCCGACCCGAGTCCCATCCGGGTGGTCTTCCGGCTGCTCCGCCCCACGGGAAAGGGCGCGGGTGCCCGGAGACCCCACGCCGCGCCGCCCCCGCCCCCCGCAGCCCAGGGGAGGGGGCTTCCCACAATGCCCAGCGAGCTCCAGGCCGCACTTCCGCTGTCCGGCCGCCCACAGGGGGGCCAGAGGAGGACCGACCCCTGCCGCGCCCCCTCCCGCCCCGCGGCGCGGAGCCCGGGGCTGAGCGAGGGGCGGGGCGCACGGCCGGGCCG